ACTGCTTTACAATTAGCAGGCTTATTCTAGAAAATAATCAATAACTGCTCACTTATTTGGAAATACAAACTTTACATCTCTTAGATCCTTAGACTAGTCAATGCACAATGGTATTGTCGCAGCTACTGCTCGCACTTCCCAAGGGCAGGGTTTGGTGTCTGTGTATGCAGAACTACTGCGAGTGGCCGTTGTCCACACGCAGTGCGAGCACCTGGCAGGAGTACAGAACATCATTGCTGATGACATCTCACGGAATGATTTTTCTGTCCCACTCTTTGACCGTGCCCAACAGCTGTTTCTCAAGCATCCTTGCTTGAGGCCCTTGGACTATTTCCTGCCGTCGCCCGAGCTCGTACAGCTCCTTACCTTGAGGTTGTACTCCAGGCACATCCCGGTTCCCTGCCGCAAGTCCTGGGACAGTTTCTGCCCGTAGACTCCACTATCTCTGGTTCTGCTGTGCTATGAACTGGGACGACAACCTCACTCTTACTGGGGAGGATCCGAATTGGTCTGTGCGTGGCCAGTACCAGTCTGCCATGTATGCTGTCCACCTCAGCAGTGGCCATTCCATCCAATGCAAGTCCATCAAGGCATCGACCATTGACCAGTACCTTCTGGCTGCCTCCTCTCTGATCCGCTGCTTCACGCAGCAGGACTACAGGAAGGACAAGTTGGGAGACCGAACCATGGGTGCATATCTGTCTGGTGTCATGCGTGATATCAGGAGGTATGAGACTATGGCTGATCGCAGAGAGCCCTATGACCACCGCATGCATGCCCTTGCCTGCAAGGTGGCCGCCAAGTTTCCTATTACCAGCTTGGTATGCTGTCTCACTGATGGCTTTGAGCAGGGATTGTGTACTGGGTATCGACTTACTGAATGGGCTCAGCCTGCCGGCAAAACCAATGTTCTATCTCCACATGGCAATGGGCGGACTGGACCCGAGTGCAAAACTCGGGCTGTAATTCCCAACGACATTCGGGCTGTTGGCCTATGTGGTGTGCGTCTTATTGGGCTGGCTATTATTACTTTGCCCCTTCTGCGGCTGTCACAGATGTATGTAAAATTCCGCACCCAGAAAAATGGTGAAAATGGGGAGGAGAAACTATATGAACGAAACCCCAATCCTTTGGGCCTCTGTTTTGTTTCTTCCACCTATCGATCCCTGGTACGGTTTGCCCAAGTCCAGGTGATGCACCCGAGTTTGTCGCCTGCCTCCACTCCACTCTCCGTCTACTGGGACCCCAAAAGCCGACGCGCTAAGCTTGTTGATGGCTCTGCCATTGAGAAGTTTATGCGTCGTCTGGCTGCAGCGGTGTACAATTTGCACCCACTCCATGATAAAGCTGACCTCAGCAAGTGGAGCTCGCACTCCCTTCGTGTTGGTGCCTGTGTCATTCTGCACATCATGGGATTTTCTGACCGTGACATCCAATGGATCCTCCGTTGGAAATCCATGTCACTTGTCATGTATTTCCGCAGTGTGGCCATTCTATCTAGACGGCAAAACGCGGCCTTTGACCGACTCCAGGCTTTGCCTCGGCTATAATTTAAAACTGGGTCTATAAGTTTATTCCTGATCTCCCACGGACTATATCTTCGTGGGCAACGAGTTTTTTCGTTTGTTTATGTTTGGGACTTGCCCGGTTTCTTGCCGCTCGCCCTACCATGCTTACGGTTTGTCATTGCGACGACGCGTAGCGCGTTTGGGCTGGAAGGCTGCTTTCGCCTCACGTTTGCTGCCGCTCGTCGCCTGCAACATGCAGCCCGTGACCACCTTCACGGCCTCCGTACGGTTGTACCGCGGGTCTGCGTCATGCAGGGTGGATTGGACAAGTTCGACCGTGGCATTCATCACATTCTGAGTTGCCCGAGCTGTCCCCTTTTCGCACCGAAGCGTGTTGTTGGCCAATGCCTCTTTGGCTGCCTTCCTTGGAGTCGCCATCCGTGCACGGCGAGCTCCCACGTTGTACCCGGGTGCCGTCTCGTTGTACTTGGAATTGGCAAGCTTGAACTTGCCCTCCAGTTCTGCCAACTGCATCTCAGTCAAGTCGAGCTTCTCCATGAACATGGTTCGATGCTCATCGCTGAGGTTGTCGAGCGGCAACCGTTTGTGCCATTGGGAGTAGGTACTCTCCACCTCTGCGAACTTGCTCCCCAACGCCGCTGCCAGCAGAACAAGTGTCGCCTCCATACCATACTCCAAGTCCACTATCTGGGCTTCCAACTGGGCTTGATTCATCTTGCTACGGTTACTCTTTCCTTCCTGGATCACCTGTGAAACAGCTAGGACAGTTTGTGTGAGCCGCTTTCCGCTCTTGCAGTCACTTTCCAGCATTGAGCAGCGCTATTGCGTTACTACTTACCTATTGCGTACAGATTCTATCTGTTCTCGAGTTATGCGCTTGTAAACTTTCCGTCCTGTGGTTTACACGGTGCAAACTGTGATTTACACGATGCAGCGTTTCTTTCGCTGTGCAAACGGTTGGTCGCTTCACGACCTGTCGGTTTGTATTCCTTGACTGGGGATGCCCGCGTGCAATTTCCCATGGCATTCCCACCCCACCCCCTTTTTTTCCAGCTGTGCTGGCTGGTCGCCTCCAGTAACTATGGCTCGATTCTTGCTCTTTGAGCAGCGTCGGCTGCTATTGGCTCTAAAAGCTAGTAGCACTAATTTGGTTACCCCAATTCCCTAAGGGGATTGGGGGACTATCTCCTTAGCATTCACCTACCAAGCAAATACTTGTGCAGGTGTTTTACTAGCTGCATAGTTACTGTTGCCCCCAGCCCCAGCCGAGGCGGTGGCAGGGAATCTTCGATTCGGGTACCAGTACCGGTACTCTAGTACAGGCACAACGGCACAACACGCCACATGGTGCTGCATAAGCGCTGTCCCAAAACAGAACGAACACTCAACAAAGACAGCGGCAGGGTCCACTCTAACCACATAGTAACCTTATCATAACCGAAAAGAAAGCGACAATGGTGGTGCCCTTGCCTATTATCATGGCCCAGAAACTAGAGCGCAACGAGCGCATTGCCTCTCTCTTGTCGTGTGTGTTCTTCCGCAGTATCAGGCCAACCTTCACAGATGCGATAAAACGGCATCCTTTGTCGCTCTGGGATCTTCAGGAATCTGATTGTACCAAGCGAGAAGCGATGACACCCATCGTAATATTTCTCGAGAATAAGACCTGCAGTGACTCTTTGTCTGCGATTGCGAAAACATTGAAGACAGCCACGGCCCAGAGCGGATTCATGGTTGCCGAGATTCATGGCGATCTCCGTAGGTCTGTTTTGCTATGGCCTTGTGGCCAGTTGCATTATTTTTTCTTCGTTAGTTCCGACCACCAGTACCATGCTCATCTCGTCCTTCTTCTCTTTCTTCCCGTGTTAGAGAGGACGTGTATTCCAAGTTTTCTTCCAAATCAGACATCTTTCTCGTTGACTTGCGCTTGGAAGATGCCCTGCAGGTGCATGCTAGAGAAAACGTTGGAGTGAACAACAATAAATCCATAACATCGCCCTCTTTAGTTCTGGTTTCCAAGGGAGAAGGACCAAACATGTACAAACCTAACGTACAATGTCACCTTATGGATCCACACGCTGTTGCTGTTTCCCTTCCCGATTCCCTGGATTCCTACGGAGATGGGCCACGGGCGCTCTGGCTTTCAAGAACAGTGTTGAAATGGATGAAGGCTATAGAGACCACCTCAGATCGTCCACTGCAGCCGCTTCATTCAAAGCTTTAGATCAATAGAGCACCTCAATGACAATACAATGAAAACAAACAATTTCTTGCTATTTTGAATCTACATGTAGTGAGGATGTTTTATTGATAGATTGCATCATTAAGCAATCAGGATGTACAAGGAAAGGATAGCTGCAAAATGAAGTGAATATGAAGCAACGACGTTCGAAGCTGCCATTGAGGTGGTACTATCTCCTGTAGCAGATGAGGTTGATTGCGGCCTGGCCTCGCCGTTGTTCTCTGCTGGGAGCCTGTCAGGACCGCTTTGGGATTGAATGGTGGTGGTTATTGCAGTGGGAGCCAGAGACGGCATAGAAGACGAATCGGTGGGTGCCGACGATGGCTCAGGAGACATTGATGGGAACATGGATGGCGCACTAGTAGGGGCACTGGGATTGATGCATTGATCCGTGTCAAACACCTCGCACGTGAGTTCAATGACTTCTGGATTCACTGATCCCAGTGCATACTCGTCACCGTGAATAGTCGCAATGAACGCGCATCGAGCATTTTCGTGGTCTATCGGGATTCCCCAGCCTGGAGGTCGCGCTGGCAAAGTCGCGTTTGAAGTTACGTTTTGCTCGGATGTGACCAGCAAGTGTTCGTCTGCATTGCCCGATCTCGACAGCTTTCCAGCTAGCGCCTGCGGCCGAGTGTTGTTGTTGGGAGACGCCATTTGTTGACGACCAGAATTGGAAACGGCCAATAGCCTCCCTTGATTGATAACTGGGGCAATGGTGACGTGATTGTCGTAGAAGCAATTGTTGTCCAGATTCACGTCCCCGTTAAAATTTCCTACCAGATAACCCACCTCGTAGTAGCCCATGTAATCCTGACATGAGAGATGTTCAAGTGAGGCCATGGACATGAACGCTAGCCGCCAGAAAAGTCTCGAGCCTTACGCAGAATCAGGGACTTACATGTGAGGCATGGTTGACAGTGTCGATGATCATGGTGTTCGACATCTCCAAAGTGGCTTCCTTGTTGGTAATAAGACCGGAAATGGGATTGGTTGAAGTTCCAATAGTGTTGTTCTGATTTGTTTGTCGAGGATACACCACGTGAAAAGAGCATTATTAGAAGGACGTGCACGTAAAGCCAACGTCGAACCATACAACTGCCACCACAACATGTCCTTACCACGAAGACACAACCGTCAAACCTAGCTACCAGAGTATCAGGATCTACCGACTCTGTCCTTGAAAGCCTTCGGTTGTCATCAGATGCCATTGTCACGCTTTGAATGGCAGATCGCAAGCTTCGTCTTCCGGATATCGATGGCGGTAGCACTTGCACGTAGACATTGCCCACATTCGAGTTGTCCTTGAAGATGCAATCTCGGAAGGTCACATCTCCTGCACCACTCACAAGAGCGTTGATAGCACTGGCCCCCGAAAATGTGACCCCTGACACCAAACTCTTGAAGATGGGCAATCCGCCGGTTTGGAATTCGTCAAAATGTGCCACTTGCACCACACCATTGACCACCGAACAACCATTTTCCACTTTTCCGTCAACACCACAAAGGACCCGTACATTGGAACGACCTAGAACAATGGGATATGATCCACCAATGGGCGTGCCGTCCACTTCATGTCTACTTCCGACTCTGAAAACCGTGTCGGAACAGAGCAGATAGGTCCTTGGGAGACTGCTATCAATGACATCGAATTCGGAGAAGTAAATGTCGTCGAGGTATCCCACACAAGGGACTCTGTAGGTGCTGGATGATTTGGTGGCACAGACTTGTGCATCGGAAGGCTCGCAGACAAATCCAGCACCACTGGCTGACAGCGTGGTGTTGTGTGCAATGAATTCGCAATTGGTACTGGAAAGTGTGCTGGAAGTTCGTTGGTTGAAGTTATTGTCAGCGTCCACCGTGGCGGACGTGGCCACTACAGGAGCAATATCATCCTGGTTTCCGATGAAGCAATTGTCGCGTAGAACTACAGGGGCAGATTCGACATAGATAAGGTGTCCAAGAGCATCTTCTGGCTGTTGCAGCAAGTCCTTGGTGGTTCCCACAATGACAGACTTGCTCATATCGATAGAAGCTCCGACACTGTATACAATGGCTGTGGTATCGGCACCAGGACTGGCTCCAAGGACATTATCCGAGAAGACACAGTCCGTGATGGTAACATGAAGCTGTGTTTTGGTGGCATTCCTTTGCAATGCCCTCTTGAAACCACCCCTCCTGTCATGTTCCAGGTAGTCTACTAGATTGGAATTTTCAGACGAAAGAAGCTTTCTAGTGTTGCTGCTTGGTGCAACCGCGTAGACAGATGCAACATTTCGGTTTCTCTGCACAACGCCAGATTAGATTGAAAGGGCACAACAGAATGAGCGGGTGAGCCAATCACAAAATACACCATTTATCTCCTCTCTTGATTGATAACTGACCTTGAATACACAATCACGAATAGTGATATCCCCTCCAATCATGGCAATGACATTGACGGAAGTTGCTCGGAAGAAGGTTAATCCTTGCAGCAGGATGTTGTCGGCTCGAGTGCCATCACCAAATTCATCCACAATCCCAACATGTACCAAACCTCGGACAATCTGGCAGTTATTATCGCTGCTGCCATTTTCTCCACAAAGAACCTGAACATTTGGTCGGGCAATGGGTATGGGATACTGTCCATCGAGGGGAGATCCATCCGAAGCAAAGTTTAGTGCCACATGAAATTCCGTGTCGTTGCAAAGAATGTATTTCCGGAGGACGCTGTCATCTTGGACCTTTCTCTCAGCCTCGTAGATTGTGTTGAGTGATGAAATGCATCCATTGCTGTTCACTGCCGATACAATGGTCGTCAGCGCCAGAAAGGAACAAGTCTTTAGTAATATCAGCGGTATCTTCATCATCATGGTGGCTGTAGTTTTTTTTGGAACGGAGAGAAAAAGTGACCGAGGAGCCGTCACTTTTTGAAATTTGCGAGACGTTGCAAAGCGGGCCGGCCGTCACAAATAAAAACCTTAACCTTAATCAAATGTGAACTCGCTGGCTTACTCTGCACAGTCTGTTGATGCCGGGCCATGTGACAAACGTCATCCGAGCTTCAACGTGGATGAGGCAACAACCATCACAAAAAGAAGAACGAGAAACAGAGGCACAACTCAGTTCTGAATTTCAATTTGATCGTATCCATCAGTATTTGTTCATCTTTCGAGCATCAATAGGTCTTCTGTCTCCCTGCAGCCATTCGAATCGAATCACAATGAGGTCCCTGTCAATGTCCCTGATCGCCGCCCTCTTGCTAGCTTTGCTGAGTAGTACTTCGGTCCAAGCGTTCTCGGTGTCGCCCAACGTCGGAAACAACATCAAGAGCGCTACTACTACGACGACTACCCTCTTTGGGAAAAAGGCCGCCCGGGCTCAAGGAAATCAACGAAAGACCAATACGGAGCGTGTCCGAAAGCCAAAGGATGATGTGATCGAAGTGGATGGAGTGGTCTTGGAAAGTCTCCCAAATGCCATGTTTCGGTGTGCCGTGGATGGGGCTCCGGAGTCACAAGCTCCTGTTCTCGCAACAATCAGTGGAAAAATCCGAAAAAACTACGTCAAAATCTTGGTGGGGGATAAAGTCTTGATCGAACTCAGTCCTTACGATCTCACGAGAGGTCGCATAACCTTCCGATACCGCTAAATAGAAAAAGTGAGAAACAAGAACCCAAAGAATCGAATCGACGCGTCTCAGTCCGTGTTGCATAAGATGGCAATCTGTGGTCGAATTTTATTCGTCCCTACGTATGCCGTGAAAGGAGGCTCGTTCTTCCTGTTTGGTTTGTGGTTTCTAAGGGGCGAGATGCTGCGGCTTTTTCTTTTTGATTAGTCTACCAGTAGGATTGGAGACTATAGCATTAATGAATCAATCAATCCACTTTTCAGCAGTCTAATTCGTGCGATCTACAGCCGTATGGTGTTTTGCCCATGAATGGCAACACTCTGCAATCGATTACTCTTTGGTTACTAGTTTTTTGTTCTGCTTCACCTCGTTTCAACCTTTTGAAGACTTTGCTTTTGCTACTACGAACCCTTCTGTCGAAGAGTACGATGTACTATCAAATTTAGGGTTCAGTTAGGATGTTCGGTATTGATTGGGACAGAGGAGACAGAGATTGGCTTCCATCGAAAGTTGTGGAAGAAGGTACTAGTACCGGTACCTGTATCTTGTTCCGGTGGGGTGCAATGCGTTTTTCGTGCCTTTGTACGTATCCTGAATGAATGAAAGGTCCTCCGTATCAAGTCCTCACCCGCTACCGGTACTAGCTACTAGTACATGTAACTCGATCCACAATTTTTTGTTAACCGCCCATAGGTGCTGGGCTACACACTGCATGCATGGTTACACAGCTGGTTCCACCGACACAGGAGGATCTTAACCTCCGTATCCAGGTTGCCAATCTCGATTCAGCATTCATCAGGCCAACTGGACTACTTCCTACTTCTACTTTACATTCTTCATTTCTGGAGGCACATGACAAAGTACACCGTACAAATAAATGCTCTCCGGCTAGCTAGCTACTACCTGGTAGCAAGCAAACAGAATGTCCGGAACGTCATGCTTTGGACTGGCTCCTGGCCTTGAGAGACAGCCGCAGAGACACGAGCTTGATTCGATTCATACCGGATGTTTTCTTAGCCTGCTGATTTTTAAAATATTCAGTCTGTCTGCCCCCAACGTCAACACGGAGAGCTCAAGGGACCGCTTGCAATCCTATTCGTATTCCTGGGTAGCAAAACAAGATCGGACCATGGCCAAAAAGTAACACCGACTTTCCCAGCGATCTGTTAGCTTTTGACAAGAGATAATACTATGCCTGATGCGAACATGTCGCAAGCAGTAGATGACGACGACTTTGGTGATTTTGGTGGCTTTAGTGCGGCGCCAGAAACAGCCAAGCCTCTCGAGAATGGAAACCATGCCCAAGCCGAACCAACCGACGATGACGATGACTTTGGGGACTTTGCTGCTGTACAAAATGAAAATACCCAACAGACAAATCCTCCAGAAGAGGACTTTGGAGATTTTGGAGGCTTTGGCAGTGCGCCAGCAGTGACAAAAGAAGAGACTGCCGATGAATTTGGTGGATTTGGCAGCACTTCCGCACAAGTAGTGGAGACATCAGACAACAATAATACGGAAAGCAATAATGTCTTGCACGCAGATTCTGAACCAGGGAATGGGGCTACGACAACAGCGAGTCCTGAATCTAGCACCGTTGGTGGCTATGACACTGCCAAGGAAGATGAAGACAGTAACCCTGAAGTATCTGCCAAAGCAGCTGAGGATGATGAATTCGGTGACTTTGGCGACGCCACGCCAACGCCACAGGATCAGCAGAAGGAGGATCAAATTGGAGGTGTTAATAAAAATGGAGAGGCGGGCGAAACCGATGCAGCAATTGCCACAAACACAGCAACTACAGACGACTTTGGAGATTTTGACACTGCCACACCAATGACCGAGGCTAGTACACCAGCAGTCGCCACAGAGCCAGCGGCTGAGGAGTTTGGAGACTTTGGAAATGCAACTGAATCTGCTACTGCAGAAGAAACAGATGACTTTGGTGATTTTGGCACTGCAACAACAGTGGAGGAAGCTGATAGTAAACCGCAAACCACGGAGCCAGCTGAAGACGATTTTGGGGACTTTGGAAATGCACCAGAGGCCCCTCCTGCAGAAACAGACGACTTTGGAGACTTTGGCAGTGCAACACCAATGACCGAGGCTAGTACACCAGTAGCCGCCGCAAAGCCAGCAACTGAAGAGTTTGGTGACTTTGGAAATGCAACTGAATCTGCTACTGCAGAAGAGACAGACGACTTTGGTGATTTTGGCACTGCAACGCCAGTGGAGGAAGCAGATAGTAAACCACAAACCACGGAGCCAGCTGACGATGATTTTGGGGACTTTGGAAATGCCCCAGAGGCCCCTCCTGCAGAAACAGCCGACTTTGGGGACTTTGGCAGTGCTCCCGAAACGACTCAACCTGATACGACGGCACATCAAGTTGATGACTTTGGGGACTTTGATAATGCACAGTCTCCAGCGGCTGCTCCAGAACCATCGGATGCTTTCGGAGAAATTGGAAGTGCACAAGCAAAGCCTTCCGAAAACGCCGACACATCTGATGATTTTGGGGATTTCGGAGATTTTGACAGTGCAGCACCTCCAGCAGCCGCTGAACCAACGGACGATTTTGGGGATTTTGGTGGCGCTCCTGCCGCCAAGGCAAAAGATGAGCCTCCACCTGACAGCGACAACAACACGCCAGGAAACGACGATTTCGGTGATTTTGACGAGGCACCCGCCTCCACTTCAAAACCAATAGAACAATCTGCCAGTGACGATTTTGGGGACTTCGGAAGTGCCCCAGCTGTTACGTCGGCTCCAGTCGAGCAGTCCGCCAGCGATGATTTTGGGGACTTTGGAAGTGCACCCGCCAGCGCCCCTCCGGTCCAGCAATCTGCAAGCGACGGTTTTGGTGATTTCGACAGCGCACCCGCTAATGCAGCTGCAGTCCAGCAGTCCGCAAGTGATGATTTTGGTGATTTCGACAGCGCCCCTGCTAGTGCAGCACCAGTTCAGCAGTCTGCGAGTGATGACTTTGGAGATTTTGACAGCGCCTCTGCTACGAGAGCAAAACAAACCAAAGTTGACGGTTTTGGAGATTTCTCTTCGTTCAATGAGGCTGAATCAAAACAGCCCCAACAGTCACAACAAATAGCAACCGCTGCTCCGCCTCCTGAGAAAACGACAGCACCGCCTGCCCAGGATTCAGATCCGATACTTCAGAAAGCCCGCCCCGTGTTTTCCAAAGTATTTGAAAGATATGCTCACAGTGAATCGGATAAGGAAATCGGTGGTCCTAGTGAAATTATTACAGTCAAAACACTGTTGGTAAGAGATGCTTTGCGGTTTGGTCTGAACAATGAAACAGTGCAATGAGCTCCCTAACGACTCTGCTGTTTTTATTTTGTTAGTCTTCATTGGTTGATGAGGGCGACAACAATGTCAACAAGACGCTGACGGGAGAGTTCCAGACAATATTGACCGAGCTTGAAAAGGAGGCTCCTCCAGCGGTCTACATTCTGGCCGAGGGCGAAGGGTATCGTCCGAATGCACACTTCTCGGTTCCTATTGGCGGGGAGGCACCATTGGAGGGCAAGCAGCCCCGAATCCAGCGAAATGCACCCTCAGAAGCTCAAACGCAACAACCCAGTACCCCTCAGTCACCTCCGCTGACACCAAAGAACGACAGTTCAACCAGAGTGCAACCAGAAAATGTAGCAGCATGCGTGAATACGAATGAGGCTGCTGGGTAAGTCACCAAGATGAGACCTTATGCATTTCTCTGGCGAAGGATTGCTGTGCTGACTAATGTTTGATGTTTTCCAACTATGACATCCTATCCAGGACTGGCCAACAGATTTCGGAAAGAATGCAACAGTTCTTACGGAGCATCCCAGATCTTTCCTTTATGCTTCAATCAAAACTTTCCCAGCCTGAGACACGACGCTAGCTAGGTTGTTAAAAGTCATGATGATGCGTTTCGCTTCCTTTAGAAGGATGCCGATCTCGTCGCACGCCCTTGTCTAGCAAGCTAGTAGCCTCTTTTAGGGATCAGCTTCTGCTTCTAATGTACAAATAGTTGGTTGGCTTTGGATTGAAATTTGGTCTTCCCCGTTACCAGTCGAATCCCGAGTTCACTGGCAATCCCGTGAGATCTTCTGTCCATGGAACAGAAGATGTCCATGGCCAGCCATCCATGCATCTGCCGCCATCAAGCAATAATCAAGCAATCTGAACAGCACTCTCGATGTCAGAATAAGAGTTGTAAAGAATCATCTTTACTTTGCTTTCCTCCATTGAACGAAGACCTCACCAGCCAGTAGTACAGTACCTCTGGGAACTACTTCATGTCCTGAAGAAGTGCATACCATTTTCTGTTCCATTTTCGGGACACCTCAAGGATACCCCAGATGCTTCCTCGCTGTATTGTTTCTACTGCCATTGCTGCACTGGTTGTGTTCATTCAACCTTCGCTAGTCGATGCCTTCTGCAGTTTATCTACTAGTCCATGCAGACAACAATCATTGTATTTGGCATACTCTGATAATTTTGATCATGATGTTGGAGAAAAAGGGAGAGAGGATTCGAGGGGAAGACGGCAGGAATACTTGGCAACTTGTATTCCAGGTCTGGCACCGTATTTGGAGAAAGAACTGTCTGACTGTGGAGTCTCGAGCACTCAAGTATTGAGTGACGCTGCCGTCTCATTCTCGGTATCGGACGAGACAGTTCCCTTGAAGGTGCTTCTTTGGGTCCGCACGGCTCATCGACTCTTGGAAAAGATTGACACATTCTTTGACTTGGAATCACGTGATGACGTCTATGATGCGGTGCAAAACTGCAGGTTGCCCGTCAAGGATCTTTTGGGGGATGGTCAAGGAGGGCTTCTGTCCCTCAGTGTCAAGGTGATTGCCAACGGACGTCTGCCAAAGGATATTTCGCATTCCCACTACACTGCCTTGACCATAAAAAATGCATTGGTAGATCAGGTTCGCCAGCTCAAGGATGGAGAGCGCCCCGATGTTGATTTGGACGACCCTGATGTCCCTTTGGTAGCGATTTTTCATGGGCAGGGAATGCGGGCCGATATGACGATGTACCGAAGTCTAGCGCCGCCGGGGAGTCTGCACAAAAGAGGATATCGCTCTGGGGGGGCTATTCATAAGGCCGGTATGTGACTTTGTTATTGACCATTGCGCTTTCTCTCCATACTTCTCACTAATGTGCGTTGTCGATATCACAGCCATGAAAGAATCTCTCGCAGCTGGGCTGCTTCTTGCAGCAGGTTGGAACGAGGCCGTCCACAGTGTCAAGAAGGCAATAGAAGAGAATGACAGCGCTGAAGGGTTGACTCTAGTTGATCCAATGTGTGGGAGTGGATCTTTACTCGTGGAAGCTGCCATGATGACTGTAAACTTCCCACCAGGGCTGATGCGTATAATCAATCATGTCCCTGGTCATCAGGTTCCACCTGTACTCCGGTGGAAGGGGAATAAAGATTCTTTGATGCCGATCTGGAAGGAAATGCTCTTGGGTGCCTCTACAACTGTGAAGAAGCAATTCGCATGGTTGAGTGAGCACGATGGGATCATTAACCTGATTGGCAATGATATTCATCCAGGCGCTTTAGAATTGGTCGAAGCTAGCTTGAAAAGTGCAGGTGGGTTGGATAGATTAGTGGACTTGCATCAGAATGACTGCCAAGAATGGAATGTGCTTCAAGGGCAAGCCCACGATGATAAGCAAGTATGGGTAGTGACAAATCCTCCATGGGGTGTCAGACTTACCGATGATGATCACATGAGTTGGGAATCTCTCCGAACGTTTCTCCGAACAAATTGCCCACCAGGAAGAACGCAGGCTTGGGTGCTGTCGGGCAACAAACTCGCAACAAAACACCTTGGATTGCGACGGTCGCAAAGTGTGGTTGCGAAGACTGGACAGCAAGACCTTCGATGGATCCAATACAAGATTCTCGAGAAGAGAGAGGTATACGACAACAAGCCAGACTCAAACCAGGACGCTCAGGTCAGCAGCGACGACAGCAATCCGCCGCGTCGAATCATGCGGACTCGCAATGTAAACAATCTGCCGTCTACGCAAGTGCGGCGTCGCACAAAGAAACCACCAAGTAAAAATGTTTCAAACGCCGACGATAGTTGGATTTAGTATAATAGGGGACTCCACCAATATGTGCATGCACAGCTGTGTTCCATATAGCTAACCAGCTTTTGTGGTACATAAGTGAGGGGATTGATAGACCTTGCAAATACTGAGTAACTTTCATTTTACTTCACAACATAGAAGCAAGAGTGCCGAAAGCTATAGATCAACCGAAATGGTAGAGGACAGAATTCGAACAAGATTGATACCAGTAAGCAATATCGATTATGGGAGCCACACGGTGACGGAACCTCATCAAAGTGCAAATAATACTTTGTTGAGGAAGCCGACGCTGCTAAAAACCGAGAATACAGTGCCTATTTACATCACACATTAAACCGAAACATTCTTCACAACAAATAGCACTTAGAATACTGGCTGAAATAGCTAGCTTACACGGAAAAGTAACCCAGTCTGGACAAAAGCAACCCGACCGCAAACAGTGCGCACAGGCGCTACTACTTTTTGTTTTGGACTTCATCCATCTTTTTCTGATCGATGTACTCCACCCCAGGAGGCATTGATGGAATCGTCTTGGTACCTGTAATGTCATCCGATGTTGGAAGACCCTTTTCTTGCTGTTTTTGATCAAACATGATTCTCCGTAGTTGGCCCTGCGTAGCTTCATCGTAATCCGAAATATGCCGTCTGGAATCTACTAGACTGGTGTCGATTTTGTCGTCTCCGTCAATGATGGTATCCCAGAATGTTTTTTTCATTTTGTGGAGAACCATGAGCATCACGCCTCCCTCTAGGCTCCAGGTACATTCATCGGGTTGAACCTTTTGAGCAAGCGGCCCCTCTACAAAGACAGTGGCTTCTCCACTTTTGACTTTTGTTTTGACGTGTATAGATGATACTTTCATAGACACATCCAAGTCTTTGGCTCGAGTTCCTTCTGGAAGCCCAATGAGAACTGTGCACTCCTCCAAGGTCTGAGTCCACTTGTATCGTTTCGTGGATCCACCATTGCCGACTGGAACTTGAAGTCCTTCCTCCGTGTATCGTACGGTTTCCTCGGGTTCCTTCTTTTCAGGTTTCTTTTCATCTTCTGTTGTGGTATTTTTAGCATCCTTTTCAACATCCTTGCTGCTGGCAGGAGTAGTAGATTGCTGCTCTTTGGGGCTGGGAGCTGATTCTGTCTTGGGTTCCGCCTTTTTGGGTTGTGTTGTTGGCTGCTGCTTACTCTGCTGCTGCTGCTGTCGAGGCATGCGCCGTAACGGAAACTGACGAAAGGCTGCCAGCAACAATTTTTCTGCTTCGCCTTCAGGGAACCCCATTCTGACCTTGCCTTCCTTGAGATCAACGTCGTTGGGTACCAAGTAGAAATCGGTTCGACGATGGAGAAAGCTGAAAAATGCGTACAACAACTTTCTCAAGTCGCCTCCAGCGCTGTTGGCCAGAGCGATCAAAGGACCCTCCATTGCCTTGATCTGGTCGGCAGTCATGGTCACGTTGGATCCACCGGTAGTTGGAGTTGGGAGGCTCATCTTCTTCTTGCTTTGGATCTCTTTGTCGTTGTTGTGGCTTTTTGCTTGTGGTTGTGACGGTCGACAGCGCGTTGACAGACGGTCGATTTGGATCTTTGCTTTGCTTTTTGGAACTCGATTGGATCGAATGAATCGATCGATTCGAATACCTAAGTCCAGACATACATCATTAGGCCGCTCTCTACCGGAGCGACTAAAGTACATGTAGCGACTAAGCCATATTTCATAGTTTAGTCGATAGTTTAGTCTCTGGAGGTGGTGTCTACCCAAGCGACTAAACGTCGTACGGACTAAAGGCTTTAGTCCTTACGCTCGTTCACCGACTAAGGGAGCTGGTTAGTCGGTGAGCAGCTAAGACTAAAGCTTGTTTAAGAACTCTTGTAAAAGAACAGCAAATCCAACAGGAAACAATACCGGTACGACTGTATGCCACGAGTTGGATAACAAATTCCAACAGGATTACCACAGAGGTGCTCCATGGGAGTTCCTAGCCTCACTATTAGGCCATCCAATCAGTGCCAATAGAGGAGAGGTGCAAACGATCGAATGAATGATAGTAGAGGTGCAAACGATCGACTGAATGATAGTAGAGGTGCAAACGATCGACTGAACGATAGTAGAGGTGCAAACGATCGAACGATTGAATGATAGTAGAGGTGCATCGCAATGGTGTGTTTTGAGTCTTGTTATCTCAATCTTGTTATCTCAAAAAAGTAATCACTTCTATTAAGTCTTTGTTTGAGTCCTTTAAATCCACCATGCTGATAGAATATTGGTAGCCCACCAAGTGATCACTTTTGTTAAATCTTGTTGCCCTCAACGGACTGAGGGTCTTTCACACTTTTATCGCTGTATGTGTGTGTGTGTGTGTGTGTGTGTGTGTGTTTGTGTGTTTGTTGCAGCTGTTTTGGTCACATAGGGGACACTTTCCTCGTTAAGGATAGGGATTGATATTGTGTGCTTTGTTGGACACAGTAGTGGGTATAGTTACTGGCTGGCTATGCAGACTCGCTAGTGTGTCCAGATAAACACGGTGGAGGTTTGGACAAAGACATAAAGGACACTTTCCTGGTTAAGGATACGGATTTATATTGTGTGTTCTGTTGGACACAGTAGTTTGTACACGTGGGTACCAGTGCTGGCTGGCTATGCAGACTCGCTGGTGTGTCCAGATAAACACGGTGCAGGTTTGGCCGAAGAAGTTCATTAAGGGTAGGGAATCAAATCTCTTTTTGACAGTTGAGGGCATCAGCCTCCGGCTGCTTGTTCTTTGAGTCCTTTAAGTCCACTAGTGTTCCGTTTAGTCATTTGTTTAGTCCCACGGTAGACACCACGTTTTGACTAAAAACTGGACTAAATTGTTTAGTCCGAGATTTAGTCATCTGCTGGTAGACACCACCATTACTAAAGGATAATGACTAAATCTTGAACTAAACAACCACCTAAAGGATTCCTTTAGTCGGTCCCTTAGTCGCTCTGGTAGAGACCGGCCTTAGCTTTGGTTGCCTTTCTTGGCTTTTGTACGGACCATTTGTATTTCGATCAAATGACATGAAGGATGAAGGATACCGGTAGCTACGAGTACCTGGTATGTCATAGCGGTATGTTCGCAGTTGACAATCCCGCCCGACAATTACCGGTAGCACTAGCTATCTTTGACGTATCAGGTACAGTACCAATATGATTTGGAGCTATTAATACCCTACTATTTTGAGTTTAATCTGGATCTACCCCGTACCGGTACCGTACTGTATGTATCGGTAGTGGTACCGGTAGGTCAGAAATTGTTATTTTCTACTAGCCAGGTAGCAACTGACAATGCCACCCCCCAAATCTGTATGAAGGCGCACAGAAGCCTCCACCTCCCAGCAAATTGCTACTAGATTTCAATCTTATCCGCGAGAGTCTCGGGGTCTGCTTCTGCTTGTTCAATCATCTCCTTTCCTTGAGACGTAAAATGCTGTTCAATGCTAGCAAGAACCTGGAGCGATCGCTGGTCATGAATTAGGCTGATTGCTGTTCCCTTTCGGCCGAAGCGCCCGGTTCGCCCAATACGATGCAAGTAAGTTTCGTAATCTGGGTTTCCATCTCTGTCGACAGGCACATCATAATTGACCACCATCATGACGTTGTCTACATCGACACCGCGAGCCAACACATTGGTGGTGATCAAAACTGTACTCTTCCCATCGCGAAAGTTCTGCATGGTGGAATCTCGGTCCTCTGGGGAGACTCCGCCGTGCAAGACGGAACAATCATACCCACTTTTGCTGAGTGTTCGATGTACGTTGTCGGCATCCCTCTTTGTCCCAACAAATACGATACTTTGGCCAATTGTCAACATTTCATAAATATCCGACAGGAATTGCAGTTTCCCTCCCTCGTAGTCTCTCGTGTCAATCCATATCTGCTTGATGACATCCACAACCTGAACAGAAAGGGTATCAATAGTGAACACACGACGTAATGATATTATGAGACGACACTCGGTGCATGACAAGAAAAGTCTCGACGTTGAAAATACCTACCAGGAATTCATCACCATCCTCAATCAGGATTTTGTCTGGATTGTCCACCATTTTGGTGGCAAACGTGACCACTTCAGGCGGAAAAGTGGCACTGAAAAGCAGACTCTGGCATTTTTTGGGCATTTGCTTTTTGATCAACAGCGAGTTGGCTCGATGTCCCGATTCTTCGATCATGGAATCGGCTTCATCCAATACAAGTACTTTGATATTTTTAGTGACAATGGCCTTTCGTTTGAGCCAGTCCACAATTTTGCCAGGTGTTCCAATCACAATGTGCGCATCCAGTTTCTTCCCTCTTTCAATATTGGTTCCAGCGACGGCAAGTGAGACTTTGAGGCCCTCCATGTTGGATGCCATGGGTTTGAGTGCTTTTTCAAAAATTTGAATGGCCAATTCACGAGTAGGCGTACAACAAATGGCCTGTGTACTCGCCGGAGCGTCAACCTTGGTCCGATACAGCATGCCGAGAGTAAAGGCAGCCGTTTTGCCACTTCCCGATTGCGCCTGTCCAATCAGATTGCGGGGTGGATCTGCCAAAATTCGCGGCAATGCCTCTTCTTGGATCACGGACGGTCGATCAAAGCCCATGGCAAAGACAGCGTCCAGAAGATGCTTCGGTAGATTGAGCTCTTGGAAACTCTTGACGGCTGCCAGATGGGAGGATTTGTCCGATTGCACTACCTTGAGACGATCCTGTTTGTTCTCCTTTTGTCGCTCTAGCGCCAGTTTCTGTAGCCGTTTGGTGAGATCTGCTGGAGACTCGCCGTTAGCCGCATCAGCAGCAGGGGCGTCGTCTTTCGTAGCATCGTCTTTCTTCGCTTCCTCAGCAGGAGCATCGTCTTTCTTGGCATCGTCGGGTTTGGCTTCCGCATCCTCTTTCTTGGGCTCTTCTTCTTTGGCCTCGTCTTTCTTGACTTCTTCCTTCTCTTCAGAACTCATGGCTGGTTTCGCTTGTGGTAATGATTACTTTTGGGATTGCTAATTGTTGTTGGGCTTGGGATGAATGGTTGTTTGGGTTGGAGGAAGATTGCGTGTCTCGTCGAGGCGTCATGGACACCTGCGAAATAAGCTCTTCCGAAGCCAGGGCCAACCGTTTGGATCCTTTTTTTGCATGTCTCAAGATTTTCAGAAAAAGCGGTTTGGAAGCGAACAAAACACAAGAATTCTGTCAAAATTTTCATCACTGACGTCACCCACAGCAACGAACTGGAAGTCAGCTCTAGTAGTTGAGGTAAACTGGGGTTAAAGGTACTGAAAATAGTTTTAAAAATATTTTTTGTTTACCACATCTACCAAACGTTTCCTCAAACCTCGCATTGCTTGCTTCTGCGATACTGTGTTGTATTCATATACCGTTAGGTAGGTGGTTGTTGTCTACCATTGTCCTTCGTTCTTTTGTTCTGGTGGCGTTGCCATTACCCACTTTCCTGTTGAATAGAATATTTGAAACATGTCCAGTTCATCACCTCCAAAGACACAGCTTCGAGCGCTCGGCTTTTGCGGTGCTGATGATTCCGTTCATCCCAACATGTTGGCCTTGATTGTCCATGCCTTTCCATTTGTGGAATTTGGAGTGCTATTTCGACCCGACAAGGAGGGACAACCACGATATGCTACGGCTGAATGGGTCGAATGTCTCAAGCAAGTAGCGGCCAAGTCGCAGCCAAGGATGAAACTGGCAGCTCATTTCTGTGAATCTCGCGTCAACCAAGTTTTGAGAGGAGACGATTCCTTTCTTTTGACTCTCAAAGGAACATTTCAGCGGGTACAAATCAACGCTACAGCTGTCAATGGTGTGGACATGTCAGTTTTGGAAAGTGACAAAATTGGTGAAACGTTAAAGGCCTTTGCTGCACTGATACGTCGTAATCGCAACAATTTTGAGTTCATCCTTCAAAAGAATGAAGAGACTTTGCCACTTTGGAAGGGGCTTTTGGATTTGGACAGTGAGGAGACTGGACCACCAGGATCGCTCCCCACTAATGTTTCCATGTTGGTGGATGAATCCAAAGGAACTGGGGTGGTATCCTCAACACCTTGGCCCACCCCACCAGACACATACCCCATTGGATATGCTGGGGGCATTGGTCCACACAACATCGCAAAGGTCTTGGGAGACATCATTGAAGCAGGAAGTGGAAAGAGTGTTTGGATTGATATGGAGAGCAAGCTGAGAAGCAAAAAGAACGACAAGGATGTCTTTGACCTAGACAAATGCTATGAAGTCATAGATGCCGTATGTGCGGCGGGGCTTCATTCTCCTCCCGACTATCTTTTGTAGTACCGTACTAGTACAGGCTAAGCTAGTAAGATGTAGTAGTTTTTGGGTTGCAATTCTAATGTTTTTTACAACATGCCTCCCACTTAATTCTAACTAAGCAGAAGAAAAACGCGCAGGTCTCTTACCGAATTCAAGAAGTCTACATGGTGCTATTGCGTTGGCAATGCCGGCACCTTACCAGTACATGTGGCATGACCACTGGTGCTTCAGGATTTTCTGAAAAGCAATCCAGACAGAGATATGCATACCTTTGCTAGCTTGCTAGTGGTTGCTAACAGCTTCAGCAATTCATGGGATAAATTTTCTGGCATCCATCCAAGCCGCCGAACAGCCAAAAAGCGGGAAGCCGCAAAATGATTTGTACAGTGTCCTGCGGTACCGGTAGGGTTGAGGCTTTAATCTCTCGTGAGGTGGGGTAAATTATTTATTCAGACACCCACTTTTTCGGAGGAAGTTGGTTCCTCATTTTTGGTATGGGGAGACTAGACTACGGGTGGCAGAGGAGGAGGGCAGGATGCACGAATGCAAGCCGAACAATCAATGGAGTGCACAGAGCAGCACCAAAACCAAAGAGGGAGAGGTGCAAGGGGGCAGGGAGGATCAAAGAAGTAAGACTACCGGAAGAGATCCAGGGCACCTCGGTCATCCCAACGCTTGGAAAGCTTGATAGCTGGAACACCAATTCATTGGATGAATTTTCTTTCATCCATTCTCACGCAACCAAGCCACAAAACAGCCAAACAATGCAAGCCTCAAAGAGTGCACGCCAGTGCGGTAGGGTTGAGGCTTTTTATATCTCGTGGGTGGGGTAAAATTATCTTTTAACACAAATTCTCCGGAAGTTGGCTCCGTCATTTTTTGCAACAGATGGGAAGCAAAATGATCTCGACAACCTTAGTTTTGTTGTTCGCGACGGCGATGGTGGTGACAGGCAGCGTTGTTCCTGTCGATGAAAATCACCGAACCTTACTCCAGCTCGGACAGAACCTCTTCGGAAACAATCCTTCGTCCTCGCATTCGCAGCTTGACCTGTCTGCTTTTGGCTCGGCCGTTGACGTCTCGGACGACGGAAGTCGCATGGCTGTAGGAGCACCCGAAGAGAACGGTGGAGCGGTCCTTTTATACGAACGTGATTTGTCTCTCGCTATCGATTCTAATTGGCGGCTCGTGTGGAAACTTCTTGCTGGCGTTCCTGGCGAAGACCTCGGGAAGCATTTCTCGCTCTCGAATGATGGACACACCGTTGCCGTTCGAATTAACAACAAAGATCTCTCGACTGGCCTCGTCGAAGTCTGGTCCGACAAGTCGACAGGAAATATGACCATGCTTGGTGCTCCCATTCTTGTGTGCGGCGAATCGCTTGGCGGAGCCGTAAAGCTTGGAGAGACTCTGGCGTCGTCGATCTTCGGCGCCAGAACGTGGCTTGTCGTGAGCTGCGAACACGCGAACAATGATCAAGGTAAAGTCAGGTTGCTATACTTTGACGAATCGAATAAGATCTGGACTACTTTCACCGAGATGAAAGGCGAAGCCCCTCGTGCTCTCTTCGGGCAGTCCATCGACTTGTATACTGCCCTTCCAAACTTCATCCTTTTGGCTGTGTCATCTCCGTACTATGACGATCATCGAGGCAAAGTTCAAATCTTTTACATCAACAAGGAGTCATACGCATCGCAGCTGCGGAACACTGTGGAAGGTGAATCAGCAGGAGACCTGTTTGGTCTCATCATGCGAATGAACGACAGAGGAGCACCTACTCTAGGGATCGGAGCTCCACAATGTTCTTCAACTCCTGGTGCGAGTGGTTGCATGTATGTGTACCAATGGGGTCGCCCTAACGCTACGGAGCCACTGGGGTGGTCAAGCATTCACATGGGTGCTATGAGCGGAGTTTCAGCTCTGGCCATTTCTTCAGGTCCCTCCGTTCGCATTGCAACAGCTTCGATGCATCCTTTCTGCAACGAGACAGGATTGATCCGCTTGTACGAGATAGGCTCAAGTGACACTCCCACAATTGTTGGCAGTCTTCGAATCCCGAACTATGCCACGGTCCCATCAATGAACCATGTTGAGAGTTCGTACGACTGGTTGAAACGGGGATTCGCAGTTGGGCTCAACATGGATGGGTCGGTCATCGCGGCAGGCTCTGCTTACGGTGATTATCGGCATGGTCGTAATGCATCAGCTATAGGTATTGTCCGAACCTTGATCGAGCCTGCTGTTGTCGAGATCTTTAGCAGCTCGCCCCCGCCATCCTTTTCACCTACCAGCTGCGAGATCTTGTTCCCGACGGCCTCACCTTCACAATTGTATCTGACCGCTTCACCCATGGCTCCGCAGCCTCCGCAAGGCCCAGAAAGCAAGACTACTGCTCCGAGCTACCCTCTCAACTCTCCCACCTCAGCTCATCCAATAGGCTACGATCTCTCACCCCACCAACCTACGCACATGCATCCAAGTCTGGGCAGCCCCAATCTTGGCCCGAATCATCCTCTGAACTCTCCAAACTCGGCCCCAACGCTATTTGATCCAACAGACTCCCATCTCTCACCAAGCCCAAGTTCAAACGAGCAGCAAATGAATCCGAGTCTGGGCAATCCACCTACCAAGGTTTACTCTTTTAGCCCTACCCATCCTCTCGACTCTTCCACCTCAGCCCCTTCTCAGTTTGATCCAATGGACTCGGATTATTCACCCAGCGAGACACCACAAGGGGAACCAATGCATCCCGGCAATGTTCCTACCGGTATAGATACCCACGTCCGTAAACCGACAAGAGTTACTCCAGTTCACCAGAACGTCACAATTCGTGAACCAAACAGGGCGGCACCCTTGAACCCACCGGACGAGGAGACTGCAATCGACGACACGGACAGTCCTGCCCATGGTGCTGACCGAAACCCTCCTGTTTTGTGGCTAATTTCCCTAAGTGTGCTTTTGGCCGGTGGGATCGGTTATTGCGGCCGACGAGCTTGCTGCAAATCGTCGAGGAGCGATGATCCTGCTGATGCGGACAGCGGTACCGGTATCGATGAGGTTTGATCCTCGCCCGACTAAAGCGAGCATCGGAAGATGCAGTTGGTGGAGGACAACCCTTCGTGTGTATTGGTTGTTAGGCTTGAACATGTGTTGTTGTGGTGGTGGTGGTGGTGGCGCACCAGCATTATTATTAGAGCAGATGAATAATTGTAAAAAGGTGTGAAGCTAAGAAATGCAAGTTGCGCATGTAGACTAGCTACATGTAGCATCGAGGAGCAGTCTTGGAGGTTCTAGCTAGCATGGTCCACTGTACATGCATCCAAGCACCCAAGCCGAAGGCCTTTAATACATGGACGAAGCCCAAACGACTGATGATCCGGGATCAAGCTACAGTAGTGGCTAATCCTCTGGCTTGACATGCCTTTCAGACGGCACCAGTCATTCAAGTGCCGCACCAGCTGCCCGTCAGTCTGATAAGATATGATACATACGAGAAGACATCACGCAAAGTCAACAGGAAGAACACACCTATAGAAAGGGATTTCTATCAAGGTCTGGTGTTGATACACAGAGGTCAAACGTACTCCACAGTTAGTTAGTTGTCGCAGCTGTTGTCACTGTCATTACAGCTCCAGATCAATTCGTTTTCTCAACTCGATGCTAGACAAAGCTTTCAACTCTCCCCCACAGAGCTCCAGGACTGCAAATTACGGTGACAGCAAAAGGAATTCACTTAGCACGATACCACGCTGCTGGGATTCTCTTGAAAGTAGACCAAGGAATAACAAAGAGCCAGGAAGGGACACGTACCTTCATGCCACAGCGGCTTGGGTAAGCCCAGACACTGCTTTAACGCCAAACTTCGCGCACATGCCAATGGTTGATAGGCTCCATCTTGCACCTTTTGCAGCAATGCCCCACGTTCGGGAAACTCCTTGGGATCGTAAGATTGACGTCCCAAGAAAAACCGAAAGTCCAAAGGCTTGTAGGTTCCTTTGATCACGCCTTCTACTGCAGCTTCCCACCCACCTCTGTAGATGTTAGTTCCAGGGGCAATTTCGCGAGCGCCGGGTAAATTGGGGATGCCATGAATGAGCGATGCTGGTTCGTCTTGATGGTGTGGACCTCCCATGTACACAGCCGCCTCTTTTCCAAAGGCCTGCACCACCATGTCAACAAAGTCATATGAAAAGCTGCCAACCCCACTGCCATTGCTTCCTTCGAGGAGCATTTTAGCCAATTGTTTATTGATGCTTTTGGTAATGGGTCGATTCAGAATCAGGGCTTCGCTGCATCCAGATTCGGGATTGTGCGAGAGCAAGAGACAGATTTCTTGCCATGTTTGCTACGTACATGTAGATTGTGTATCAGGAGCGGTATGGTATGACAGGTGAGAGAAGACAACGCTACCCGCAAAACAAAACGACAGGGAGGGCACCAATAATCATGGACTGCTTCCCATGCACGACGTACCTTGTATTGGAGATACTTGTCCAGTAGAAGCCGTTCATTTTCGTCCAAATCATTTGGGTTGAGGACTCCATTATTGACTTTTCCACTGTTGGTGATTGCCTCCAACTCTCGCGAAATCATCCTTTCTGCCATTGTGAACCAGCTGTATGTATGTATAAACAAACCATTGGTTGAGTGCGTGGGTGCAAGCAACATAAAGTGCGTATCTTAGATTGGCAAAAGACTTGGTTTCTTTCTCCCCCATTGGCTCCTGTTGCAAACTTACTGGTCCACTTTGGAAATGGTTATTAAATCCATGTCGACATTTTCTTCATCCGGTTTTTCTTCTTTGCTGTTTGCACTGTTGCCATCCATACTGAGCATGATCTCCAGTTTCTCGTTCCAATATCCCTTCTCGCCACCGTAGTAGAGTTGTGCTTCCAATGGCATTCGACAGAGCAATCCTCCCACTTCTGGTTGACCAACCTTGTGAGCCCAGACACCTGTCCGATACTCGTTTGCCAATTCCTCGTTTTGCTGCTCCAAGAGAGCCTCATTTTGGACCGCCACCGATTTCTTTTTGGTCTTGGCTTTGGAACTGGTAGTACTTCCATTATTATTTTCTCCTGGGAGACCTCCATCGATCAGGGATGCTCGAAACTTTCTCCAATCTCCTAGAGACGCCTCGTCCAACTCCTCCTCGTCATCGTCATCTTCATCATCTTCCTCCTCATTGTCTGCCTCGGCATAGAAAAGACTCGTGGGCAGTTTTCGTCGTGTTGTTGTTGTACCGGTGGAACAGGGAGATGATGCTTGGCCCACCACCGTTGTTGGAATTCTACAAGATGCAACCGAGAATCCTGAAGCCACTGCAATCAGCAAGCCCAGGAAGCATAGTAGTACCGGTACAGCAAGTGAAGCGGTCGTCTTCGTCATGGTTATAACTCACTCAAGTCTTATGCACGGAAGAACCACCAGAGAGAAAAATGAAGGCTACCAGCTGCGAAACCGGTAAAGATTCCACCAGATCCGTTCCAGCACGCTTGGTGCGTCCCAGGTGCCAGGTGCCAACCAACACAACCACACAACACACCACCCCAAAATTTGTGGAGAGAGCCTCTTTTTTTTGTTGACACTCCTCTCTCCTCTAAGATGGCCACTTTGTCACAATCCTAGCAATATCCAGAGGATACTCTCATAGCCAACTTTGTCAACAAAGACATGACGGTCACAGCGGTTTCAACTAGAAGTTTATTTTGTGGCTGTGTAATTACTGATCCGCTAATGAACTGAAGGTGTCCATTTTCTCTTGATTTCGACCTTCTGCCATTGGTGATGGTGGTGGAAGTCATTTCCAAAGCCCAGACCAATGCCCAGACTATCCTTGCTTCCCCTAATGAAATCACCACCGATGAAACCCCGCAGGCCGAAAACACCGCATCGAAAACACCGCATCGACTCTTCCGACAGGCATGGACTTTTGACGTGAAACAAAAGAAGCGATGGATGGATCGCTCGGATGGCGACTGCTTATGCTGGTACCACCACGGCCGCGACAACAGGAAGTCGCTCCTCTACTGTACTACTGGAAGAATCCGGCACAATAACAATCCGATTACACCCCATCGAGCGCAGCAATTTGCCGCCCATTAGTGTAGCTAGATAGATAGATAGATTTGATACCAATAGATGGATGCATCATGGTCTCTGTCAGTGCTTGTTGGGTATAATAGTCTCAATCCATTGAGAAAACTACTCGAGTATTGAGAATTAGAGAAAGCTGAAAGAATTAAAAAGTGCTTTTGGCAGATTTAATGGGGTTTTCCTTAAATCTTCAGTGGTAAAGTTTACTGGTCTTCCCGCTGGTAGAAGGATGTGAGAATCGAATCCGAAAGTTGAATTCTTTGCAAAAGATACGTGGCATTTACACCCCTTTGAGACGAACGAAAGATTGAAGTCCATTCCACGTACCGGTACCGTACGCCGACACCCCAATGACATGACCACTTCTTCCACTTTCTCTTGGTCTGAAGCTGTTGTTGTTTGTTCAGTAGCTGGTCACCATGAGCTCCTATGACGAAGGTACCGTGCAGAGCCACGATCGATCGGTTCCCAGCGCTTCTAACGAGTCGGCATCCTATCGTGGTGGTGGTGGTGGAGGAGGAGGAGGACCCCGCGATGATCGTCCACCAAGAGTCAGTCGCATGCCCACTCGAGAAGGCCCTGCCAAACCCTATCATCACCATCACCATGGCGGTGGTTCCTACAACAACCACATGCTCCATCAGCCTCATGGCGTGAGTGCCATTGGTCCCTCTTCCTCCAATATTTCCTCTTCAACTTCCAACTCCCCCATGGGACACCATCAGCATCAGTACACGGTAGAGAGTCCTTTGCCGCCCATGGTTCAACGCTCCTTGGGGGACCGGTCCAACGAAAAACGCAAAAATGCCGCACTCGAAATTGAAGCACTCATCAAATCTCTACAAGAAGCCAACAATCTATCCATGGTACAGTCAGTCATTACCGTATTGTCCAAAGACTTTTGTACCAGTATGAACTCCAACTACCGCAAGGGAGGACTGGTGGGACTCGCCGCCACATCCATTGGACTCATGCACAATTCCAGAAATTTTCTAGATGTACTATTGCCACCCGTACTGCATTGCTTTGATGATCCTGAATCCAGAGTACGATACTATGCCTGCGAATCACTCTACAATATTGCCAAGGTGTCACGACAATCCATTCTCGCATACTTTAACCAAATATTTGAAGGACTCACGAAACTATTCGCCGATGTCGATATTGATGTCAAAAATGGAGCATCACTCTTGGATAGACTCATCAAAGACATTGTCACAGAGGCTGATGAAAGCTTTCACGTCGAACAATTTCTGCCTATCCTACAAAATTATATTCGAAGAACCAACCCATACATTCGACAACTTATTGTGGGATGGATCACACTCTTGGACAGCATACCCAACATTAGTATGCTAGACTTTCTGCCAGACTTTCTCGATGGACTCTTCAACATGCTCAGCGATTCCAATCGAGAAATTCGACAAGCCGCGGATTCCGCGCTCTCGGAATTCCTACGGGAACTCAGTGTTAGCACAGTGGTCGAATTTGGACCCATTGTCTCCATTCTAGTCATACAATGCCATTCCAAGGAACGACTCAACCGATTGACGGCCATCACATGGACGTCCGAATTGATTCATCATCCATACTCGGGAGGAGATGCACTCCTCCCCTATCACGCTGAAGTGCTCAGTGCCATTATGTGGTGCATTTCCGACCAAGAGGTGGAAATTCGACTCGTCGCCGAACGAACCAATGACAATCTGCTCCAGCTCGTCAAAGACACACAAGTCACCTTTGAACTCAAGGAATTACTAGAGACACTCAAGAAGGAACTACTCAACAAGGAAGATGTTCCAACCAAAATGGCAGCCTTGAGATGGATCAACATGCTACTTGAGAAACGCAAAAATGACATGAATAATTTCATTGAGGATCTCTTGCCCGTGCTTTTGCGCACTCTGAGTGATCGCAGTGATGCTGTCGTTTTGCTCAATCTGCAAGTGCTCTCGCGGATCTCGCTGGCCGCCAAGGCTACCGATGCTCCTGGATCGTCACGAGGTAGTGGACGAGGAGTAGGGGAAACGGAGGAAATACAGTTTCAGTTGGTCCTCAATGCCATTCTCAACCTGTTTGCCCAAGACCGACAACTTTTGGAAACCAGAGGGTCTCTCATTATTCGCAAGCTGTGCGTCCTATTGAATGCCAAGAGTGTCTACATTCGCATGGCGGAAACACTATCATCCTACGAACAAATCGAGGGGGGTCAGCCTGCCGATGCCGCCACGTTGCAGTTTATCAGTACCATGGTTCAAACTCTCAACCTGATCCTATTGACGGCATCGGAACTACATGATCTACGAAACTTGTTGGCTTCCAGTTGGAGGGGACCGGACGGGCGAATTGGAGTGCCAAACATTGGACACCTTAGGCGGGGTCGAGACGATGGTTCCTTGGTCTTCTCCACGCTGTTTCATTGCTGGTGTCACAATCCAGTGTCCACGTTCTCACTTTGTCTGCTGGCCCAGGCCTACGATATCTCATTTGCTCTAGTGCAGCGATTCTCGCAAATGGAGGAAGTTACCGTTGGCTTCTTGATGCAAATAGACAAGCTTGTTCTCTTGCTGGAGAGCCCAATCTTTGTACACTTGCGGCTTCAGCTTTTGGATGTCGAGTCCAAGTATCACGCACCGCTTCTCAAGAGCATCTATGGGCTGCTCATGTGTCTTCCTCAGGGTGATGCCTTTCGTCTTTTGAATGATCGGCTCACCACTGTTTGCAATCTGCGGGACAACCTGGGCATTAGCCCCAACATGCAAGCAAACTCAAAGGAGGCGACTCTGGCCGCTGGAGTTAGTCAGTCCCTACAGATGAAGAAGCTGCTGAAGCGTTTTGATGAAGTCATGGTCCTTCATAGCAAGGCAAAAGAACGATCACACAAGCTTGCCGTGCAAGAAGAGCAGTCCAAACATCAATCTGGTGCATACTCAGTGGCAGAGCAGCCTCCAGGAAAGAAAGCGCTCTCTGCCAGCGGTGCTCGCAATAGCCAAGCGATGAGTATGCAAGCGTCGAGCCAAACGCCCAAACTAGAGCCCAGATAGGGTCAAGTACGTCAAAAGATGTTGTACTAGCTATAGTTTCACTCAAGTTACGACCTATGATGGAGTAACATCTGCCCATACATGTAGCTATAATCTAGTACCGTGGTATACTACTTGATGCTGTACATGTATTTCCTTCCCAAGCAACAAGCGCCACCACAACGCTTCACCAAAGCTCAATAACGATCACTGTGTCCTCAGAACAACCTTCAAACGTTTTCTTTGCCGGTTCCGGTCTTGGCCCGGCTGCGGCGGTTTGCCGCCTTTTTCTTCCCCTGGCCGTCATTATTTGAGTTGGCTACGTTGGGACGCGAAGAACCCACACCAAGAGTACGTGACACTGTGCTCACACCATCGACGAACTTGGTTCGGAAAATCACGTTCGCATTGTTGAACATGCCTTCCTTCAAGGACACCACGATGAACTGACTCAGGGAGAAATGTGTCTTGAGCATGTTGCCGATGTTCTGAGTATGGCTCAAATCGAGCGCAGCATCGACCTCATCCAGAATGTACATTGGAGCTGGTTTGAAGAGGAGAAGCGATAAAATCAATGACAGCGCAAGAAGAGATCGCTGGCCGCCACTAAGCTCACTCAGACTCTCCTTCCAGACATCGCCAAAGGCAACCTTCACTTCTAAACCCTCCCAAGCCTCCATTCCCTCCGGTGGCTCGAGCTTGGCCGATGTCCCTGGGAGGAGAGTGGAGAAGATAGACCCAAAGTCGCGGTTGACCTTTTTCCAAGTTCGCTGTAGCTCGGTTTTCTTCTTCACGTCAAGCTCTTCAATCACGGCTTGGATCTTCTTCTTGTCGTTCTCAATGACCTTGCGTTTGCGCAACAGCTCCGTGTACTCTCCCTCGGCCTTTTCAATCATGCCCATGACCTTTTTGTTGATTTTCTTGGACTGCAACAATTGAGCAAGAAGAAAGGTTAGGCAAGAAAATCTTGACGACATCGAGTGCCCAGCAAACGTACGAGTGAGTCTTGTTCTGCCTTCAACGACTGCAGCATTCGACTGTTCTCCTTGGTGTCCATGGCTTCAAAATCGTAGTCACCACCTGCTACGCCAAACGCAGTTTGTTCGCTCTCAATCCACGGGTGCTTCTTCAGCATGTTTGCTACGACACGCTCAGCCGTTGCTCGCTCCTTTTCGATTTTGGCAATCGCTACCTGCTTTTTCTTTATTTCCACCGCAGCTGCTGATATTTCATTCGACTTCTTGGATCGCTCCTTGTCCAAGTTCTTCAACTCCGTAGAGCATGTGGCCCTGCGTTTCTCGGCTTCGTCTAGGCGCCCCTTGGCCTCATCATACTGCGCCTTGACTTCGCCAACCTCAATTTGCAGGTCACCTTCTTTTGTGCTTGCGTCGTTCAGGGCCTTCTCGGCAGATCGAACAGCCTCCTGCGCCGCGAGGAGCTCGGCCTTCAAACTATCTAATTCCATGGTGAGTGTCTGAGAAGTCGACTTTGCCTCGCGAGCAATCTTCGTCTTCTTGGCGGCGTCCTCTTTGGCCGCCTTGACAGCGGCCTCGAGATCCTTCAGGCGAACTTCACGTTCCTGGGTCAACTCAATTTCTTTGTTCTTGAGTTCGTTGTAGAGATTCCACTTGTCCTCCTGCTCCTTGATCATTTCCTCGCTTTCGTCGCGAGATTGCTGCAACTCCTTCTCCATTGTTTCTTTCCGTTCCACCAGGATACCGTAGGTTGTTTGCGAGAGATGTTTCTCAATGCCAGCAAGTTCGGTCTGCGCAAGCTCCAAGGCTGTACTGAGGTTTTCGAACTCGATCGACTTTCCCTTCAACGCGTTGATCTTTGCAACGAGAGATTTGTACGTGGTTTCCTTCTCGTTGTGTTTCTGCGTGACATCAGCCAACTCCCCCAAACCCTCCAAAATGGATGTGCCGGGATTCTTGGAACCGCCCGATATGGTCCCCGACGGATCATAGACGTCTCCTTCAAGGGTAATCGAGCGAGTTTTGGTATCATCGCAAATCTTGTTGGCTGCACGAGGCCCGTCAACAACGAACTGTCCTCCAAAGACGAACTCCATCGCAGCTCTGATTTCCTCGTCAAAGCCTACGAGTTCGATCGCTGGGTATACTGTTGTGTTCATGGACGAGGCAACGGATCTCGCTTGGTTCAGCGAACTTTGAGTGTGGCGTCTGCCTCGGATTTTGTCAAGCGGGATGAGTGTCACTCTCTTTTCGAGCTTGCCCTTGTTGAGCAGAGCTCTGCTTGTCACGGCTTCATCAACTACAATGTTTCTAATCTTGCTCCCTCCCGCAATTTCGATTGCGGTTGTATGAACGCGATCGTGGACTGTAATGAGCTTGGCGACCACACCCTTGACTTTGGACCGGTCAAAGCCTCGAACAGGGTCAGCGTACCGAAAGGAAAGGCGGCCCTCTAGTTTGGAGGAGATCGTCTCCATCTCACCAGCGAGCTCAGAAAGACTAGCCTCGAGCTCGTTCTTTTCCTGTTCCATTGCATTGAACTCTGCTGCTGAAAAGTTCAAATCGTCCCTTTGCTTTGCAATGCCATCAACTTTTGACTTGATCTTCTGACGGTCATCCGCCAGCTTGCCAGCCGTCTTCTTTTGCTTATTCATTTCTGCTTCGACGGACTGTATTGGGATACACGGATACACGAATGGAGTGAGCAAGCCCAATCTACAACCGGAGAGAATACATCCAATCAATCAACACAACCACACAATGCACGACAACGTACCTTGAGCTCTTTGGTGAGATGGTTGATTTTCATCCGTGCTTGTTTGGCCTTGGCTTCGGCTGTTTTGCTGTCGCTGTGTGCTTTGCTAATTCTTTCTGGAAGCGTGCGCCCTTCGTCTCCCTGGGAGGAACTGATACCAGCCGACATGTTTTGGTAGTCAGATGAAAGTTGGGCCAGGTGTTTTTCTGCATCCTCAGCGTCTTGCTTTTGCTGATCAATTCTTGCAGATTTCGTTTTGCACTCTCCTTCTTTTGCGGTAATGGATGTCTTGATTTCCTCGACGGCTCCTTTTGCGCCGTCCAAGTCCTTTTCCGCCTTGGTGACACTTTCTTGGCTGTTTGTCCATGTGGAGGTAATCTTGACGAGCCGCTTGGAGCACTTGTCCTCGTCCGCCTTGGCATCCGAGTATCCCTCCTCCATTTCTCCCTTGAGTGTGGATTGTAGTTTCTTGGCTTCTTCGTCAATGCCCTCAATTTCTTCCTTGAGTTCATCGCGTCGTTCTTCCAGTTCGGTAATTTCTTTGGTCACATCATCGGTGCCTTCCGAGTTGTTTTCGAGTGCATTTTTAGCATTGGTAAAATCGTTGGCGACAACAAAGCGCTGAATTCGTTCAATATCAGCATTGTTCTTGCTCCATTTGAGGTAGTTTTGTTTCTCTCCTCGTAGTTTTTCCAATGTTGGTGTAATTTCTTCGGATAGAACGGAATTGAGTTCATCCACTTTGGCTTGTTTCTTGTCAATGGTTTTGAGCGCCGCCACCCGCTTGTTTTCGTACATTCGGGTGCCTGCTGCTTCTTCAATCATTCCCAAGATTTCATGAGGCTTCATGTTGAGTACCTTGGTGATTCGACCTTGCATGATGAGGAAATGCGGATTGTTGACGTTTAGTTGCACCGTGTGAAAGAGATTCTGGACATGCGATGCTGGCGTGTTTTTTCCATTGACCAAGTATTTGCTCTTTCCGCCCAGGAGTACTTGTCGCGTCACCGTGACTTCTTTGCAGTGTTCGTATCCAACAGGACTACTCGCTTCATCTTCGTTGTTGAATACAATTGTGACGACGGCTTTGTTGACTCCAGCTTGGCCCTGCTTGTAAACCAGCTCGGAGAGATTTCCAGCGCGGACTTGGCTCAGATTGGTGATCCCAAGGACGAAACAAATCGAGTCCAAGATGTTGGATTTACCAGATCCATTCAAGCCAGTAATGGCGTTGAAATGAGGGTCAAAGCTGGAGGAGAAAAACAGAAAGAACACGGTTAGATTTCATTCAAAGAACCGAAGGAAAGGCACCCAATAATAATCAACATTACATCAGACTCACCCTTTGATGACTGTCCGGTGAGCATAGGACTTGAAGCCGTCAATGACGATCTCTTCGATAAACATGGTCCTCCTAACCTCTTCAGACTTTGATGGTGACTATTGTACTAGTATGGTACTGGATGATAGTATGGAAGCATCACAACAACAGCGGCAACATCAAAACAATGCTGGAAAATGTGAGGAGCGCCGCGTCGGCCTTCGAGCTTGAGTTTGAATCGATGTAGGGGGGACAACTCTGCGGGGGACATTTTTTGGTGTGGGTCCAGAAGTGAAGGTCGGTCCTACTACTAGCTAGCTAGCTTAGAGCTGGGGTTAAATGGTCAAAAGATCTTTACTGCATCTGGCAAACACCGCGAGCACCCAGCAAACAAGCTCACAACTTGGCTCCACTGATGAGTCCTTGCCAAACAGAGCTACTACGGTACTTGCAGCTAGCTTCTAGGTGCTGGTAGGGCCATCGATGGAGCCCCAAAGTGTCGAGGCCAAGCGGATCACTCAATACAGGTACAGTGGAAGAGCCCATGTGCATTCAAACGGCTTCAAGCCTCATGGAAGTACTCCCCGTGCGAAAACGTACAAAGCAAGATGGTCGTGCCCATGGAGAAGACACTCCGTGCCAAGAAGACGCGCAAAGATTTCACAACAAGCAACCCAATGTTCATGGCAAGACGTTATTATTAAGGAAGAAGCAGTCTCTGCATCGTCGTTTCCTTGGATGCATGGCTCTGGTTTCCTCGTCGAGCTATCTGACAATGACACTGTTCACGAACCACTCCGATAGACGCAATCTCAATCATCAAGTGCCGGACTTTCCAGGTACGGAAAAATCAGAATCGATTGCAGCTGCAGGAGGATATACCAGTGGAATCTTTGGGAGCTCACAGTTCGACTCAACAAAGTGGATAAATGATTCACAATCAAGTGCAGCAATCTTAGTAAGAAATCCCAGTGGTATCCTGGGGAGTTCTCAGCTCGAATCAACCAATTGGACAAACTTGTTCCTGCCTCTCCGGAGTGTATGCTTGACGGAAGGAAGAATCCATTTCTTTCAGGACAAGACTGATCCAACCAAGTCTGGAGTTGAAGCATATCAGTACTTTGAGAAAAACCGTAGACCACCTCAAGTATTCTCTTCATTTGAAAGAAAAGCGGCAAGCTTCGACCCGGCACCTATGTTGCACGACATGTCTATGGAGGAATGGATGAACGAAGGATCTTCGGAGAGGAAGGTCAGTCTGCACTACGGCTCTTCCTTCGTGATACCGCCACACCTGCCACAAAACAACTTTCATGCCTTTAATGACCTGATCATTCCGGTCTTTCGAGATGCACTCAAGAGTGGTGCCATGGCAGATACCCACTTTCATGACGACGAAAACAACCCGGATAAAGTCAAGCAAGCGAGACGAGGGACGTACCGAAATCTGTTCCTACTCCAGGGAAATGAGGATTTCGTAGATGACAGGGCCATCATGTTTGACGTCTTGTTCAAGCTATTTCACAGAGTGCATTATCCATTGGAGGCCTTTGTCGTTGACAAACAAATCCAAGTGGCTCGTGGCGTTTGCTTCGAGCGATATGTTTGGTCACAACCAGGCAGCAAACCTTTCTATTCTCACTTTGGACGCTATGACGCTGACAATAGCAATCAGTGGAAAGGCGTCGTTCCTGCCTTTCGTGATGCGATAAACAAGGTCTACAGCATTCCGGTGGCTCCCAGTTCTGCGTTCCTCCAAAACCTCAGACGCAACCCTACAAGAAAACCCAAACTCGTGTGGGCAAGTCGAACCGCTGAAATGGGTCCACAAACATGCGAACGATGCATCGTGAACGAGGTCGAGCTCCTCCAAGCGCTTCAACAAAAGTTTGATATCGAGTTGCTGCCAATATCGAATCGGAAAAACTCACGTGAATCCAATCTTGTGAAAGCACTGAGACAGCTGGCAAGAGCCGATATGCTTGGGGGCTTGCATGGTGCGGGATTGGGGCATGCTCTGTTTCTGCAGCAAGGAGCGGCTGTATTTGAAATGAAGGACCGAACGCATTGGTCCTCCAATCTTTTCCTGAACATGGCAAACCTCAATGACGTTGGCTACTATGCTTACGATACGCGACCAATGGAATTGCCAGGTGGGAAGCAACGGTACCTTCTTGATGGTGCTGCAATAGCTTCAATCAAAGAGGGCTTGTGGAAGGCCTGGCAAGACGAAGTTAAGCACCGAGTGGTACAGGCAACTCACCGAATGGAACGAGACGAGCAGGAAGGAACTTGCAAGTTTCCATTCAACAGTCTCGCAGGCAATGTGAGCTCCTTCGAACACAGTCGATGTTATCTTGTTTTGAATCGAAAGGGTAGATGGAAACAGGCAGCAAATGCAGACGAAGACACACAAAAAACTTCCATCTAGTGCAACCATGACACGCACAGTGCTGTTGGAGCTTGCGCCACGGTGACTGTCGAAGCCTGCAGCAGCTGAAGGACAACCTTCCTTTTGAGATTACGAAACGCAAAGCAATGCAAATTGACGCTAAACCCAATTGTTCAAATTCTCTAACAGTTTTGACAACCCAGACCAGAACTTTGACACGCACGGTGTCTCGAATCTTGAAGCAGATTTAATAAAATAGTTTGGTCATCATGTCTACATAATAGTGACACCAGATGCGCGCCCTCTGACTAACCCTTGCGACTTCAATCGAATCGATGCATTGGACTGAGCTCCTGGCTACGTGTAGCATCTGTACAGCCCCTACTTTTGAGTTGCGGGGACGCTAGGCACCGTCAATTAACTATGGTTTCCGATTTGGGGACAAGCACAATCACATCCACACAGAGTAGCAGTACAATCGAACTCAAGAAAGCAAGGACTGGAGCCCCAAACCGTATGAGTACAAGACTCATCCTGCAAGCGGCAGAGCAAGTCTGGGATAGTGCCGGACAATCCAACACTGCCGGTCAGATTCAGAACACCCAATTTCGACAGTTGTCCAAGTTCTGATGGCACGAGCCCTGTGAACTGATTGTCCTGCAGGTGCAAAAATATTGAAGCAGCAAGCAGTCCAAACTCCGAAGGAAGGTGCCCGGAAAGATTGTTGTCTGAAGCAGCAAAATCTACCACTCCTGTCAGGAGTCCAACTTCTGAAGAAATTTGACCGCTGAATTGATTTCCATACAGCCGCAACCAATTCAAAGCAGTCAACTGCCCAATCTCAGAAGGAATTTGTCCAGACAACTGATTCTTTGCCAAGGACAAGTTAATCAAAGAAGTCAGTTGTCCAAGTTCCCAAGGAGTTTGACCACTGAATTGATTTTCCTCCAGCCATAATGAAGTCAACGCAGCTAGTTTTCCAAGCTCAGAAGGGAGTTTGCCAGCTAGCAGATTTTCCAGCAACCACAGGTCAAGCATGAGTGTTAGTTGTCCAAGCTCAGAAGGGATTTGGCCGGTCAACCTGTTATCATCCAACCGCAATTCTGACAAACCAGTCAATTTTCCAATCTCAGAAGGCACTGAGCCAGTCAATTGATTTTCATGAAGCTTCAACCAAGTCAAAGCAGTCAGTTGCCCAAGCTCAGAAGACAGATGGCCACTCAGCTGATTTCCCCACAACTGCAAGCCAGTCATTGCAGTGCAGTGTCCAAGTTCGGGAGGTATTTGCCCGGAGAAGCTATTTTCAAACAACCTCAACTCCATCAAGCCAGTCAGTTGTTGTATCTCTGAAGGAGTTGGGCCACTAAACTGATTTTGACTCAAATCCAGCCACATCAAATTGGTCAATTGTCCAAGCTCAGAAGGAAAATGACCAGTCAACAGATTTCCTCGTATGGACAAATTAGGCAACGCCGTCAATTGACCAAACTCCAAAGGAATCGAATTTGACAGGTTAATATTTGTGATGCGAGACTGACCAGTTAAATGATTTGTGTGCAGAGAAAAGTATGTCAATGCAGCAAGTTGTCCTATTTCGGACGCAATTTGGCCAGAAAGCTGATTTCCAAACAACCACAAACCTGTCAAACCAGTAAGAAGTCCCAGTTCAGAAGGGATTTGACCACGCAACTGATTCCCATTCAATCGCAATGACGCCAACGCAGACAGGTGTCCAAGCTCGGAAGGAATCATATATTGGATATCGTTGTTGCTCAGGGTTATCCGGGACAACAGCGTTAAGAGAGCAATCTCCGATGGTATAGAAGGGGCAATTTGAGACTGGCTCAACATCAAGTCTTGTAGGGAGAGAGAAGTAAATGCACCGTGTTCATTGCAAGGGTGATATCCACTTGAGTACCACAAACACTCGTCTTTGGTGTAATCCAACCAATCTCGTCCAACATGAGCAGGCCATTATTCTCCTCCCAAGGAATAGAAGAAAGCAACCAAGGCAAAGAGTTGAGTCTTCTTCCAGTCAGACAGTGCAGTGATGCTTGGGTGCTGATCAAGCCAAGCCTTTGCCTTTAAATGTGGAGGTACTAGAGTTGGAGCCATAGAGAAAGATGGAGCCATAGAGAAAGATGGAGATGCGGAAGAAGATGGAGCTCTAGTTGGAGCCATGGAGGATGATGGAGCTATGGAAGAGGATGGAGTTGCAGATGGAGACATCGATGGAGCACTTGACAGAGATGGAGAGAAAGTCCGTGGCCTGATGACTGTAACAGGTTCCTTGTTTCGTTGTGTGCCAGCGGCAGCTCCTACAACAATTGCAGCCACAGCAAACAAAAGGCAGGTAGCCAGAATCAACTGCTGCCATTGTCTCTTCCATTTTTGCTGTCTTTCCTCAGCTGCCAATAGATCCACCGGACTAGCCTGCATCAATCTGTTGCATCTTGTGGGTCCCCTAGAACTGGATTTGCTTGCACCAATGGATTATTTGCATTTGCAGCAAGCAGAATTGAATTTTGAATGTGCCCATTAGCACCAGTAGATCTGAGGTCATGCTGCACTAGTAGTGCGGGTGGTGTGGCATCCACCGGAGCACTAAGTAGGTCATAGTTGAGATTTTGTGTGCGCTGCAATGATGATCCAGGAGACTGCAGGTACGCACCAGGTTGAGATTGCAGCTGGTGCTGTGTAATTTCATCAATTGGAGCAGTTGCATCCTTGGGTGGTTCTTGATCCACAGCGAGGATGTTGATGGTTGCTGCTTGTGCCACTGCGAGAGACTCAGCCTGGGATTCTTGTTTCTTTGATTCTTTAGGGAAAAACGAAAGTTGACCGCTCCTTTGGGATTCATCAAACTGTGCTGCCAAGGTAGCAAGGGGAGGATATGTAGAATCATCATTGTTCTCACTTGGGCTGAAATTTGCTTTCTTTTCGTCAATGTTTGCTTGGGTTCTTGGTGTGACCTTGGCCACAGGTTTTCTGTCGCCAAAGTCAATTGCAGTACTATTTCCCGTTAATCGTAGTATTTCTTCTGCGCGAGTCTTTTCTTCTGGAGTCATCTTCCTGTCAGCTAACTCCGGGTCAGTATCCTCAGTTTTTGGTTTTGATGCGCGGGGACTACTTGTTGTACCGGTACTAGTGTGCTGATCTTGGGATGTTGACGGAATCTCATTGGCGCTGGTGCCCACGGCAGTTGACTGATCCTCCGACTGTGTGGCTTCGACGGAATCAACTTCATCATCGTTCATAATCCCGTCTTCACTGTTGAATTTGTTTCATCGTTATCGAGATCTCTGATCCTGAAATCAGAGAAGCTGCGAAGCTACAACTGACTGTTGCTTTGCTCTTTATGATATTGAATGATCAATGGCGGAAGGCGGAAGATGTCATCGTTGTCGTCTCCCGAGCCCTTTGTGAATTTAACCTCTTCCTTACTGCAGGTCACACCGTACGATCTTTGGGGCGAATGACGAAGAACCAAAGCGAAACCTTCAGTCCATCAAGAGACAAACACATCCGTCAGATCAGTCTAGCAGTGTTCAGGAGGTCTTTTGCACTGACAAGCAACAGCAAGATGGCAAGCAATGTTAGCGGTTTGGCGGCTGCCATTCGAGGAGCCACAGGTGAGTGACGACAAGTCACGTACAGCATCCTCCGTGTGCACGTCCACTAAAGACTGATCTGTCATTTTCAATTTCAATTTCAATTTCAATGAATTTGATTATTTGTTTTCTGCCGTCCAGAGAGTGAAACGTTTGATCTCGCAGGTCAAAATGTTGCCACCATCTCGACCAACATTCGGAATGCCTTTAGTGAGCCATTTCCGTTGGACAAAATGATTCGCATCACCTTTGTGACGGGAGGGGGCAAGCTTGCACGGGGCAAATATGACGCTGACGCAGCCAAAGCTGTCACATCCACACTGAGAGAGCTGGGATTTGACGATGACAAGGGAGCCAGTGCTGTCTTGGAGTGTGCCAAGCTCTTCAAGCTGCAACATGACACAGGTGCGTCGTTTCAAACAGATGATATGATAGTATGGACAACATTCTGTATGCGTTGTTGGTTGCTGTTGTGGTTCGTGTTCGCAAACTGACTTGGATTTCTTGACATTGGACCATTGAAAAAACTTTAAAAATTGATGCTGGGTGGCACATCGACACAGGCAAGAATTTGAAAACGGTCGTCGTCTTTCCGGCTGTGGTTGGACCATCGGCGGCGTCGAGTGGAGCAGAAGAGGGGATGCAAAACCTGTCTGTGAACGGAGGCGGTGGCTCGTTGCTGCCAGAATCGAGTCCGGAGGGTAGCATCGCCTTCTCATCCATGACAGTCTTTGAGAGAATGGTGGCCAGCAAATGCCAAACATGGACGCAAAAAAAAGGATGCAACCTGGCGATGGGTTCCATCAAAACGACACTGGAAGAGGTCGAGGGAAAGCTCATGACGGGGACCACACTGACAGATCCAGAACAATCCTTTTATGACAGTGTTTCCATGTCGGCATTGGAAGAAAAACAGGCATTCGTCAAAGCACAAATGGCGAAACAAGTAGAAGACGGAAAACTCACTGCACCCGAACGCAATCAACTGTTGGAACAAGTAGCAGAGCGATTGGCCAATCTCAACAAAGAAAAGGAAGAGGCAGAAGCAGCTGGCAAAGCCAAGCGAGGGCAACAATTATCCAACATGATTGCAAAAGCAGAAGAACGAAAATCCAAACTTGAAAAGATTGTGGCCAAATCGCCTCCACCTCTCAAACACGAAGCAGAAATTGGCAAACTGCGAAAAGAGCTAGAGCCACTCTTGGACGTGCATCCAAGGGCCGCCTGCTGTCCGTCAAAGAAACTCAAGCGCTGGGACGGAAAGAGGAAATAGAAGAACAAATCATGCAACTTGAGGTGAGTACATACTTGTAATATTGGCGTGTGTTTGTTTTGGTTTGGTTTGGTTTGACGTTTGAATTTCACATACATGTTCTGATCACTGCCACTGCATAACGTAACAAACAGACTGCCAGTCAAGGGTGGTTTGAAGATGAGGAGGATTTCCAAAAGAGACTTCAAGCTTCCGAAAGAGCTTGGATGGCCAAGCTAAAACAAGCTAATAGCAAGAAGAAAAAGCCCGCGTCTTCTACTGCGTCGGCTTGGTCAACTGCACCAACGCGACAAAAGGCATCGGGCGGAACCAAAAAGGCCGCCAAACCAAAGCCCAAAGCCAAGGGCGGCAACGTGTTTGCTGCCATGATGATGGACAGTGACAGCGACTAGTCTGGCTAGACTGGCTACAATCGGTCTCGCAAGCAACGCAACAATGAGTGCAAACAGCTTCCATAATACTGGAACCGACAGCTTGCTTGTACAATGTACAGTCAATAATCGCTAATAGCTTGCCTTTCTCCTACGAATCCTAAAGGATGCCTTTTTTATCGGGCCAAAAACTTGGCCTAACCTGTTTCATAGCGGATGGCATAAGGTAGGATCGCAACAACGAAGCGAGGATCTCCCTTAATTTGCCGGACACTAACTGGCAGTGCCAAGAACTTAGGGAGGCCGGGAAGTTGACAGACTTCGATTGATCATTCCAAGCAGCGGGAGAAATCAAGATAACATCCACGCTGTGCACCTCCACCGTGTTCTCCTAATTGCCGTTCAATGGCAGCCCTGCTGTCTTGTGATATTGGTATGGTGCCACCGTGTCTCATCGGTAATAAGGGCGAAATGGGAAAGTAGGCAGTCATCTGATTGGCTAAAGATACCGCGGTACTCAGATTGGACATTAATCTACTTATGAATAGGACATCGATCATGATGTCATCGTATCATCACTGTAGCAAAAAGGCGCCATTTCTCTTGCACTATTACAAAACTTCCTCTGAAAGCGCGAAATCGTAGCGCTTCATCTCAAGATTCCGTAAAACAATGATGTTAAGAAGGTAGAGTCATTGGATAATAGACAACAAAGCGCAATAGGATGACAGCAGCAGCGGCAGCAGCAACGGCAGGAACAATGGGTGGATCCTCACAATCCAACATGGGCAACCAAAGCCAGATCCGCAACAGTTTGGAGCAGCGCAGGCACAATTTACAACAACAAAGTCGACGCAAGAGGAAGAAAGGCGATCAGCTAACACTGACAGGAAATCCGGCCTTTGAAGCTATAAGAGACTGTTGCATATGTAAAGCGCGACACTACAGATTGATAGAACCTCACAGAGCACACCATCCTCTGTGTACAAATAATCGCCGAACACGGGGCATTACAAACGAAGAAGTACTCGCTCAATTGTCAGAGGGCAAGCGACTGCGTCGGCACTTTTCCGCTCCAGCTGGGTTTAGCGCATCTTTCCTTGCTGGTGGCAAGTCCTTTTTCAACCCACGAAAGAAGAAAAAGCAACCTAATGAGTCATCTACCGAAACCGCTGACAGTAGCATGGCTGACAGCAGCTTGGCTTGTTTGCCAGTATCACGGGCCCAAGGCAGCAGCATTGATTTGTGTGCAGAAGTCACAAAGAAAACTTCAGATGCCACCTTTATTACACAGCATCAATACAACAAAGCACCGCTCGCCATGTTGGCGCTTGCTGCTGTTGTAGTTGATAAGATTATTAGATCAAAGAGTGAAGCGCTCATTAGCTCTTACTTCCAAGGGCTGGCAATAACAGTGCCACAGTCCAAAACCCACTGTGATCATCACTATCACAGTATTGTGGGCACCAAGCTTCTACTTGTGGATTGGAAAACAATGTTTGGTTTGGACATTATGTGCCCAGCCTGCAATCAACGCCCTCTTTAAAATACAAGAACCATACTTCTCACACAACAAGCTTCTCTTTCCCATTTTCAACCTTGATGGACCACCCGACTGGTGCATGGTCATGGCGATGAAGTGCTCTCTGTGCAAGTCATGATACAGTGCCAATGAGAGTAAGATATTGTGTCAATTACCGGCATATACGGCAGCTGCTTATCCAGTGGATGTTCGCTATGCTTTGAAGAAGAACAGCCACTTTGGAAAGAGCGCAACAGATGTCTTTGACATGATCCTTCCTACTTATGGCAATGGAGAGCTTTGCAGTCGCCTACTCTATCAAGCTGTAAATCGCTCCTATCTGGAAAGAGTTTCGAGCTATTATTCTTACAAGATAGCTATGAAAGAGCCAGTCTGCAGTCCGTCTGCACAAGCCGATGAACCAGTGAAGGAATATCTCTCCAAAGATGGATAGTACATTCGACTTTATCCACCCACAGGAGATACCGTTCGCGACATGTATGATGAAGCTTGCAATAATGCCGACAATCATTGGAGGATCAGCGACCACGATCGAAACACAAGGGAGATCCAACCTGTCAAGTGCAACTTGATCTTCGCTCAAGACCACACGCATGAGGTGACCAAAACTATTTTCATAAGAAGAAGCTTGGAGCAGAGGCAATGTGGACTTGCAGCACAGAAACTAGCGAAATTGCATCAGCCGTACTTGTACCTTCAACCAAGACGTCAGACTTTTCTCATGCTGCCAAGCAACTGTCCCTTCGAGACAACTTCAACCCAAAGGTTATGTACAGTGATACTTGGCCATGCAAAAAACACTACTGGGGTCTCCTGCTTGAGAAAAGAATAGAAGGTCGACTTGGTCTATTCCATTTCATTCAAAGAATCACCAAGACACTTCGAAAGAATCATGTCGATCATTCCCTTGCAGTTGGCGCTCTTCTCAATGCTATCTACAAGTACAACACAGAGGATTATGAGAACCTGTTACGTGCATTGAAAACTGGCACTGTCAATGGGACAAAGTACACAGATGACGACATTGCCGATATCAAAGGAACTCACACATGGCGAAGGAGCTTTGGCAAATTCCTCCGGAAGACGATTCTTCCACCGGAGTCTTTGCGATCGTGTCTTGAGGATTGGTGGCATCGCTTCAAGTGCACAGCATCTGAAGGGTCCAGACAGGCACAAGGTCGGCTTGATCCAAGAACACAACAAACATTATTCACCCCTGAAACAAAAGTGGCGCTGGAAAACTGCAAAGAAAAAGCTGAGTATTTGCAAGATCCACTTCCACTGGATCAAATGTATGAGGTGATCTTACCAAGCGGCAAGTCCACACATGGCCTGAATGAGTATCTCTCACGAAGAGGAGAATCTAGCCTGGAATCGTTTCATTTGTTGCTTGCTCACTTTGGAAACTGTGGCATGCGGAGCAGCTTGGCGGATAACTTGAACCTAACTGGCACTGCTCGTTTCAATTTGGGAGTGCGTAACAAGCTGCGCCTTGCCCCTGCTCGTGCTGCTCCAAGAATTGCAAATGGCGCTGTCCACAAGAAGATAATGCCGGTATCATGGGAGGGGTTGTCGCGTATTTCAATCACTCAGAGTAGTCATGGGTTAATGAGTTGGCACAACAAGCCGGTACAACATCGCCATTTTCGGATCTGGAGAAATTGCAAGATGACACTGGTGAGTGCTTCTTCTCTGAATACATTCAATGGATGAACACAACAAAACCTGCCTTTGATTTGGAAGATCAATGCCTGTGTGAAAAATGCGGTGGTGCACCGACTGCACCGACTCGTCAAATTCAAACTGACAATGAACAACGGACATCGCCACCATCGCCACAACCACCGCCGCCAACAACGAATACTGCTGCAATACACGGCTCTTAGCCTTATTCGCGACTCGATCCTAGATAGGGTTTGAGTTCGACTCATGACTGAGTCTCTCGTGAATAGTCATTTGAGACAGGGTTCTCAATGACCGCTCTAGTCATACTAGGTTGATGATGAAACATCGCTCTAGATATTTAGCCAGCGTGGAGCACTTCCACGCTACTAGATCCATGCTAGACAAATCTTCCACGCGTTCCGTTTTAGGATCGTGGAGATACGTAGGATTACTACCGCAACCTACTCTATCACACTATATAGTCTCCCGCGGGAGACCAGATCTACGATCCCTTGATGATGATCTCTCTCGTTGATTAGTTTTCATAGCTTTCTAATCTCTCTCATAACTTTCATTCTCTCAAACTCAAAACACTCGAAAGATCTTTACACTAGCTTTTAGCGTAGTGCATTTTGTTAACAAATACAATAGCTTCAGCTACCCTCAATCTATTCCTTCACCATGAAGATGGCTCAAGGAAAGCATGCATTCAGCAACTTCGAGAAACAGTTGCGTGACAAACCCATTCTTCCTCTCGTCGACAATGACGAAGACACCGAGATTGACGATACTCGTGCAACCACCTGCAAACTTCACAACCATGTTGCCAAGCGCAAATCAGAAAACTCTGATAACGAGGACAACTCCTCTATCGATTTCAATCACTTGGATGGAGAAATCTCTATCTAAGGATTAGGCCAGGATGATGACTCAACGGAACCATGTTCCGATTTCTCATACCAAAGTGATGAAGATATCTCACTAACTAGTAAACAAGAATTGTTTGCAACCGATGAACTCTACGGCAAATTGGATGATTGCCTAGAAGCTGCTCAACTAGACTCTGATGATCTATTTAGCATCGTTAACCTCGTCCGTGGCCAACCACCTCGTAAACGTCGCAAGACAAG